ATGATGATGATGATGATGATGATGATGATGATGATGAAAAGATGTACCAAAAAGATGCTATTCAGTGCATCTCTTGAGTCTTGGTAGATCTAACAGACCAGCAGCTAACAGTTATGCACTAAACAATATATCAGATGAACACAGTTAGTGTGGAATTCCATCTATTAATAGTGAAATGAAAAGATTTGCCCAAATTATGGGTAAAACTGCCAAAGGCCCACATGTTTTCTCTCACTGACAGTGCAAATGTAATCACTGCCTACAAGCTGCTCATCCACACTCAATCACACTCACCAACACGCGATCTCATCTATTTAAGTCAATAATGAGCGTTCAGTCACTCAGACCCAGTCGGTGGAACGACTGTGGCTGCCTGTGGTTCTGTTTTAAGCTCTGCTTATTGACATAACCTCACACAGGCGCACACACACAGATGCGCGGYGCACTCACACACGTGGCGTCGTGTGCGCGGACGCGCACGCACGTCGGTTTACCCTGGCAGAGCGTGGGACTGGCTGGGGTGGAGAGGTTTAGACAGCGAGGCAGCAGACTGATGAGGTGGAAATAGAGTCTAGCATCCATCTCCATAGCTGAGATGTTGCATCATTCCAGGCAAATTGAGAGTTATGAGGTAAAGATATGTTACAAATGTTGTGGTGTTGCTCCGCTGTTAAAGGCAAAGGAAACCATTTTATGGCTTCAATGACTCTCCTACTATCAGTTTTAGCAGTTCGAATTAATGACATACAGCGGAGTAAATCCYATTTATTTCTGGCAGTCAGTTTATTTATATTACTAAACCTCCTTTCAACAAAGCTTGATAATAAGGGATAGTTTATTATTAAAGAAATCTCTTCAGCAGTCACATTATACCTCGTGTTACTCCCCTGCTCTGTGATTTCTGTTTGAAACTTGAGTGATTTCCACACGTTAAAACCTTAATAAAGCCGCGCTGACATGCTGCTATAGTAGTTATTTACCATAGCAACAGTGGCCCACGGAGAGGCTTGGTCTTCACTGGGGTGGATGCCWACGTTCCAGCGGGTCTGAAGCATGTAAATGACAGGCTCCATGCTGACATTGAACTTTGACACCCACGCCACCTTCACACGCCCCTCTGAATCCTCCACAAAGTTGATCTCTCTGCGAGGCTTCAGAGGAACACCTGCAAGAACAAAAGGAGGGGGAAAAATATTAAATAAAACGTACTTGACCATTTTCTAATGTKAAACAAAATCCATACATAAAAGGAATTAAAGTTTTCGATTACACACTGTACAAACTATGTGTGTTACGAATTAAAAATCAATTAAAAGAAGAAAATGGCAAACAGCTCAATATGTCTCCAGAGCTATTGATGGAACATGACACCGTAACAAAAGTGTGACCAATTTTTCTAATTCCCAATTTCTACACTACTGTTAATATTTAGAGCTCTATTACAATATCAGCTCAGTCAAAAACAGAAAACGGCTAAATAAAAATAGAAATGTCCAGGTTTGAATCATGCAGGTTTAATGCAGCAGCCAATTCCTAACCACATCTGAGGCAATTCAACCTCAAAGGGACCATCTGGGATTTCAGATGTAGTCAAACAGGGAGTTTTCTAAARTCTTTATGTCATTAAATTTAATTCAGATCATTTGCCAAACACATCTGATCAAAGCAGATCACAATTAGTTTGTTTAAACACCATCTTTACAAGAGCCAGATGTCAGGATGAGTATTAGTGAACCTTTAAATGATAAACTATGTTCAGTGTTTTTTTGGAGTTTTTATTTTTATGACAAGCAGCATCTGGTGTTAGCATTTCACCTGACACAGTTATAGCATTACAGGAAAACGCCAATGAAGCCCTTTTCAAATAAAAAAAGTCATCTTAATCGACATCATCTTCGAATCAGCCGAGGTACTTGACAGTATCTGGAGGGGTTCACCTTTGTATAAATTGGCTGGAGCTTGACAAGTGTGTCCGCAGCCATTAAAGCAGCACTTTCTGGAGGACGGACAGTCCCGGTCTAAGGAGCAGCTCTCCACGCAGGCGGCGGCGAATCCCGTGGCTCGCTGGGGTGGGGGGCAGTCTCCCTGACGAGATGACCTCAGAGAGGCCAGGAAGTCTCTGCTCGTTACACACTCTGTCTGCTTCTAGGAAAGGAGACGGGGGGTTCTGCAATTATTGTTAAAGCCATTATTATTATTATAACATCAATATTTAAAAGGAGGGTATCAAAGCAAGCAGGAGAGGTGAAAGTGTTTCCSCTCTTTGGGTAAGCTCCAACCGAGTGCTTGAAATCTACCCTCGAGAGTTCCGTCTACACGCGCTTTGTGCGATTGTGTACATCTGTGCGAGTATTTCTGCGTCTGCTCACATGGCTGCAGTTCAGCGAGATGTAAACAYGAGCTTTAGCTAATAGCTCTGAATTACCCTGTGGTCCTCACCAGGCAGCCAGTCAACCATCCAGACAGTAACATGCTTCAGCTATTGTGATGAAAAAGTAATCTATCTAAAAACCGCAGCAACTGGCTCTACAAATAATCATTTGGGGCCACACACACACATATACAAAATACACAAAACACCATCGTGTATACATAGAAAAGCTCTGTTATTTGTGACACACATAAACAGGCTCAAGTAGAGAAACTCACAGTAAAAACAGCTTTATGACGCCAACAAAAGCAAGATTTTTKTKTGTGTGTGTGTGTGTGTARGAGTGACAATACCACCAAGGCTGCAGTGACTGTCAGAAACACACACATACATTCATGTTACCTCACATGACTTTGGAGGGAGCATCTTCCTGGTTTCCCACAGTTCTTTGCACGGCTGAAGACACTGCACATAAACAAATAAACAGATCAGCAAAATCACAAATGAAGGGGTTTTAAAGTTGAAGCCCCCCCACCTTTGAATAATTTACTCGCAAATAGCAACATGTGGGAATTACGTTTTAATAAACCACTTAACAAATACACCCAAAGCTTTTCCATTAAAACAGCAAAACGGTGAAGAAACAGATAAGAAAAAGCTTTTAACAAGAACAAATTAAGTGTTACATTGTTATATGATTTCCAGCAGCGGATTTCATCATCGAGGCCAGAGGGAACTAAAGAAAAAAAATTAAAACACACACTCCTAAAGCACACACTCATCTGGTTTGCCACCTCAGTGAACTAGTGAATGATGGCTCTTACCAAATTAAAACCAGACAACATATAAAAACTGCGGTTTCACCCTCAACCTTCTCCCCCACACTCCTCGTTTTTCTCTGCCTGTCTGTCTCCCTCAGCTTCCCGCTGCGYCTGGCTTCAATCATCCCTCCAATCTGTTCCATCCCACTGATGTTCCAAAAAGAAGAAACAACGTTTTAAACTGGCATTAAAAAAAACTTTCATATTCGCACAAATACAAAGACTACCATTGGACGAAACAGACTAATTATTTATGTCATCCAGCCCAAGTAGATTGAAACAGGCCCAGCAGCAAACATGTGAAAACAAATGTGTTTATTCTGTTGAGATGAATGTTGGAGGGATTATAGCAGCCCTGTTGTTTTAGGAATGAACCTGTTGTTGTTGTTCTTGATTCACTGGAATAATATGTTCTCCCAGATGTCAGAAGATTAAACAACACATGGAGAGGAACAGGACTTGTCGCATCTCATGATAACATAAAACTGTTACAACGTTTTCAAGACAAAGCCAATAAATCCACATCTGATTCTTTTTTTTTCTTAAACATTCCGAGAAACAAAACAACAAAGACGTTGCGTAAAGGAAGGATTATAGCTCATTGGTTTTTATTAAATGTTTGACATGAGAGAAGAAAAGAAGCTACACCCGAAGTTTCCCCTGTGAGAATGAGACCCGTCGGCCTCAATTTCATTTTGCGGTTTGTTTTTTCACAAAAAATAAATGGATGAACCGTTTATTCTCCTAAGGGTAATAACTGTTATCATAAGGGTGATTGTAAGTGAAAGTATTTGTTCTTATGCAAAAATGCTTTTTACAGTTTTGACAAATTAAGACATTATCATCCACCCCTCACAATGGTTCATCCCACAGCCTCCTACCTACCTTTACGAGGTCGTAAATGATAGAGAAACATATAAGACAGCTGTGCAACAGTAACTACCCTCTTAAGATTAATTGAATAAAAATTAAAGATTACTGTCCCTGTGCGTGTGCGCCCCAGCTGCTCTGGTTTCCTCACACAGTCCAAAAACACACGTGAAAGGTCTCCGTCAAACAACTGCCATAAACCATGACTGTTTTTGTATTTTTATATCTGAATTTTCTATTTGAAGTACTTTGCTTTAATAAATGCAACGTAAAAAAAAGGTTAAAGACAAAACAACTGGACTTTAATTCTGAAGTTGAAGATGTTTCACTTCCCATCCAGGAGGCTTTTTCAATTCAAATTTATTCAAATAAATTCAATTTCAATTAATTTATCTCAATACARTTCACTTTATTAAAGCTGGCAACTCAGCACACTCCAGACTTTGAATAGACCATTTCTTAGTTAGAAATGTGCATGGTGAAGCATAGCTTTTCCAGGTCCCAGGTCAACTAAAAACTGAGGTTTGCTATATGAAAATGCTATTGGAATTGCGCAAACTCAATAAACTTAAAAAGCAAATTTGGATAATTAAGAAAAATCACGTCTATGATCCTAAAGTAAAGTTTAACACAAATCAGTTTAGAGCAAATACATCGGGTCTGTATAACAGCGTAAATTTACCTGTTGAACTTGTGCAATTACAATGGCATTCCCAAAGCAACCTCAGTTATTTCCTGGTAAACATGAGGTCAGCCCGCTTCGCACATTGACTGATTTGATTTGATTTATTTATTTAACAGGAAAAGATGATTAAAAATCAAGCCTGACTCAGCATAATTGCTGTTTTACAGGAGGTTCCTGTTCTGCAGCACATAAAACACTCAGATATACAGCATCACAATCACATCATTATACACCATAGACACAAAGACAAACAACAAACAACATTAGTGATAATTTCTAACTATGAAATGGTTTATTGAGAAAGCCTCCTGGATGGGAAGTTAAACGTCTTCAACTTCAGAATAAAAAAGTCCAGTTGTTTCGTCTTTTAATTTTTTTTTCTGTTTCATCATGACCTGGATGACTGAGAATCTTCACCGGCATTTTAATAAATCTGGTTAGAAAAACACCATTCATTTTAATCTGTAAGCGTGTTCATAGTGTTTTCTTTAAATGATTGYTTTTATTTCTGCGGTGCAGAGCTTCAGAGCTTCCGAGGTGTTAAACATATTTGTGTCGTATGCATCATTTTTATAAAACTGATACAGTCGGGAGAGGAAAGTGTGAGGGGGGAAAAAAGGCTGAAAATATCTGTGGTTAGAAGGAGGTTCAGACATTCAAATATCACTTGTCTGCAATAAATCACAGAAAATTACATACACTTCATTTGTGGAAGAGGTGCTGAGAGACAAACAGACACTGTTGGACTTGAAGGCGACACGATGAGTTATGTGTGTGAGGGAGAGTGCAGTAGACCCAGCTCAGGTCAGAGGTCAGCAGTGTTGCTGTTTAACACACCAACACATGTAACAACGGAGCCTGGATTAATGACGGGCTGAGGATGAATGGGTGCTCAATTTGCTCGGGAGCTCCTCGGATATCTTTGCAATAATTAATCACGCACAAGTACGCACACACCTTGCCTCTCAGCCCTCCTCTGCTCTCTCCCGCTGCTTTATGGCCTCACCTGCCACAATAGAGGGATGACAGCCACACTCTGCAACAGGGGAGGAGAGGAAATGGGTGGTGGTGAGGGTGAGGGGATGGGATGGGGGGTTCAGAGTCAACGGAGAAGTGAGTGTCAGATGAGAAGGAGAGAGGAGATGAAAGACAAACAGTGAAACAGGTCCAGAAAAAAAATGAGGGGAGGGAGTGAGAGTCGGAGGAAGGCAGCCACCAGATGTGATCGTTCCCCTCTAACAGTCACTTGAGTCTATTTCATTTTGTTTATATTTACACAACTTCACATTAGCTGTTTGTATTGTGTAAGACAAAAAAATCTTTATCTATCATATAAACAAAAAATAAATAACTTAAATGTAAAGTAGTACTAGGGTTTTAGGACAAGAAAAAGGGCAGAAAGTGATGGGAATGATTTACACTGAAGTGAAATGGACTTGAACTTGAGCAGGATGCAAGCTGGATTTCAAGCCTCTGTGACATTCAAAATGTGGGGATTAATGTAGTATTAAAAGATACAGTATTATAATAATAGTATCAATATACAGAATAGGAAGTACATCCTAAGGTTTTATATATTTGAAGAAACAAGAGGGATGTAAAGATTCACTCCTGCTCCAATTCAATTATTGATTTTAAATCATCAATATTTTAAATTTTTGTTTCAACAAAATGAATTGTAGCCATTTTATAATGAATATTTTCTTTTCGTTTACCATTTTACAATTATTTTACCAACTGCAACGGTCTGCTGTCTTATTAGCAGAATATAACTTCAAAATAAATAAAAATGTCATCACAAACTCTGAATTTTGCTCCTTTTCAGTTGACCATGTGGTGTTGTGTGTTTTTGGCACAACATTATTATTATTTTTATTGTTTTAATTGTTTGTCCAAATGAAATAAATCTAAAAAAAATTGGCACAAAGACATAACTTATTGTAACGCAATATCGATGAAATAAATTCATTTTCTTAATCGATTCACATTTTAAGCAGTTATAATCAATTATTAATTGATTCTTGATTAAATGTTACATCGCTTTAGAACAAATTAAAGTAAATGCAATCAGTTTTATTCAAAACAACTGAGCCAAAATGCAGAACATGTAACACTGAACACACCAATGTAWTTTTTGTTTCTAGGAATTAAGAGTCTAAATATCAGCTAAGTGCAACCAATCAACTGCACCTCATTAATTAATTAACATCAAGTGTGTCCCTCTATAAAAACAGAAGTTTGGATAGTTGACTGCTTTGGATCTTTCAGGTGTGTATTAACACAAGTCAGTGACATCAGCACTGATTTTATTGAAGAGGTTGGTGCTGCTTCACAATCTGGAAAGGGTTACAAAGCTATGTACGAAAAAATTGGTGTCCATTATTTTACAGTGGAAAAAATATATTTCACAAGCAGGAAATATTCATCCAGAATGACTGGAGATAAATCTAGGAAAAGTACGAGAAAGTTGCAGATTAACAYGACACCAACATGACACCGTGTGCAAATTAAGGAACACCGAGTAATCTATTAAAAAAACTGAGCAGAGTAAGACAAAGTGCCGSACTGCCCTGTGGGGCAACTGTTTGATAAATGATCCTTACAGGGCAGCTTTCTCTTCTGTCTGTTCCACATCAGTGAACACCAAATCAGGAAAAACACATAAATTTGAAAACAAGACAATGCAAACGCATCATTTAGACAAAATCTTGTAAAGTGACTGCAAAATTCTAAAATTTTAAATACTAGAAAACCCACTTAGTCAAAGGTTGTTGTTTTTTTATAAAAATCACCTGAATGAGCCCAGGACCTAAGAAAACATAGTGTTCTCCTCAGTCATGTTCTTCACKCTAAACAGTGTCATAAAACTGATCAACAATAAGAAGAACATGCTCAAAATAACATGAACTGTGAAATGCACTCAACAAAAGTTAATAACAGCAACATCTGAGGAAYGACTAAGGACGGCATGAAAAAGGGTCATAGTACCTCTGCTCTTTTGTTCAGTATGTTGGGCATCCTGCTGTCTTACACACCTGTTAACCATTACTACACAAACCCTAAGCGTGTTTATGATCTGTAAGTGTATGAAAAAGAGAGAGATAAAAGACAAATGAAACAGAGAGATGGAGGGACGGAGGGAGAACTGGAGTTTAGTTGTTGTGAGCTCACATGTGTTTCCAAGAGACAGTGTGGTGATGATGTGACACAAACCAACCATATGTGTTAGCCCAACATCTGCTTAGTTTGTGAGTCTTCAACGCAGAGGCTAAACACCAATGTAAGAAAGGAAAATACAGACATGAAGCCCCACAGTTGTGGCTACCTGTTACTAGTGTCTTATTTTGTCATTTCCCTTATCTTGTCTTAATGTCTTTGCCAAATAAAGATAAGAGGATATATAGTAAAAGTAAAGTTTTGCTACGAAGGAAATAACTAATTTACAAACTAAAAAAGGGAAAGAAAAAGCTTAGAAACTCATTTCAACCTTTAACTTTTGTTCCATGGGAAGACGAATTGATTATCTGTACTACACATGTGGGTTGCACATGTTAAAACCCAATGAGGACATTTCGGTTCAGCTCTGTTCCAAGTTTGCATAAAGACCCAAAGGAAACTGGGGGAGAACTAAAATATTAGTCCCCAAATTATTCTGCAAATGTCTTTGTCAGACATTCTTCAGTAATATTCTCTGCCAAAAAGGCTTTATGAGATCCTGAACTGGACTCAGATTCAAATCAAATCACATTTTGTCAAATTTGCCTCCACAGGGTAAAAAGCTTGAAATTAAATTATGCAAGTGGGCTTTCCAGGAGACAAGAAGAATCTGCATCTTCTGATCTTCTGRCATTATATTTTTCAGCGTTAGGAGCAAATAGTACAGCTTCGATCTAACATGAATGCTCTTCAGAGTTAATTTGAGCTTTTCTTCAAAATTAGTACATTCTAGTAAATTGCCATACCATTTATTATCCATCAAATTTGAAATCAGCGACAGACTCGAGTCCTAAATAGCCAACAGCAAGCAAAAAGCTGTTCTTGAATATCTCTTCACATTTGTACACTTGATTACTAGCTCGTTTAAAACTAGTGTTGAACTCAAAAATTCCTAACCTTGGACTGATGGATGAGGCCTGGTTGAGGTTAAAAGTTAAAAGCAAAGGAAACCCATGAGCAGTTTTGCACGGACAATGTGAAAGATCTGTTAATTACCAAACTTGTGTTTTGCCAGACCCAGATTCCTCACTAAGTACGACTCACATTTATGGCTCATTTCTTGGAGTAAACCAATTATAACACATTCAAATACATTCAGCTGTCTGTTCATTATGATGATAATTATAGGCGAAATTGAACAGGTTTGGGTCTGAGTTTTAAATGGATCCGGACCAACAAATGTTCTAAAGAGTTTCATGAGACTTGTACATGAATTTATTTATTTTTTTAGCTTTTAAATGACTCCCTTTTCCTGCAGTTGCAACCAGCAGTGAAGTCTGACAAATGGCTTTAACTACAGAACACTGAGCTAATTTGGACAACGTTTTAGTACTGCTTACTTTGGAAGGAATAACTGCAAATATTATGCTTGATGTACCACATTTTGTGTAAAATATACTTAACTTGTCAAGCCTCTGCCCAAACATATCCTTCGATCTGCCAAAATTTTACATTTCAGTAGGAATTCCAGCACTGTTAAGTAACTAAAAAGTTAAATATCCTAGCTGCTAAAACTTGAAACTCCCTCCCTCAGCTAAAATGGCAACAGCTGAGCTCACCATCATGATGCTCACAGTGAACGGCATGTAGCATCTTGTCCGTCTGAATGTTTATGTGTATTCAAAGATATACGTAGGAGGAGCTGTGATGGGCTGTGTGAGATGTACAAATCTCATTTATTTAAAAAAAAATTTCAGGCTCAGGCCTCTCCTGCAAGAAATTTTTGATCCCAATGGGATTTGCCTGGGTAAATAAAAGCAGTTAGGAAGATGGATGGATTGTTTACAAGAAGATATTATTTGGCTCTGTGGTTTGTAAGGTGCAAAGGATACAAAAAATGTCCAAAAGATAGCATAATATAAATGTCTTTTATTAATAATACACCTTGAGCAATTAAAGGGAACATATCATGCAAAATCAATTTAAAAACATTTTGTTGTGTAATTGGAGTCTCTAAGAGTGAAAAAGAAAGTATTTGTATATACATGTGAAAAAAGAAAGAATTAAAAGCATGATGTATCTCCTTTAAGGCTTATGAATTCCTCTTGTACAATTTGTTGTTTTTGCCTAGATTTGGCCATTATGTGCTTTTCTATTATAATTTATTTTATTTGGCCTACAATGATGACTTTAAGGAAATTGGCTTGGTACATATTCAACAGACTGTAAAGCATTAAAAATTAATAACTTTGCAATTTAATCAAATCTGTGCTTGTCTGAGCAGCGTCTGATAGGAACATTTCAGAAACTGAGCGGAAACTGATTGGTTAAAGCAAGTACAACACCAAGAAACATATATTAAACATCRAAAACAGTATAAATAGTAAAATATTTCCAATATTATAAGACAGACTGTGTTGAAGTCCAAACAGCAGGATCAGAAGTACCAAAAAGCAAAATGTGGATTAAACAGAAGTTACCATAGTTTAAGGTCAAGCGAGCTGTGAAGGTTTCTGCTGCTGGTTTGAGGTGGTGGGGGGTAAAATAGTTGAAAGTAAAAGTTTGATGTTTTGCTCAGTGTGGTATCCCTGATGTTTTGCTCAGTGTGGTATCCCCCCGCATTGGTCTGGTGGTTGAGGTTGCTTGGGGGGAGTGTGCTCTTGACTGCTGTTGACATTAACCCCTGCTGACCCTAATATAAATGCATGCACACTACTGGTGTGCGCACTGAACAGCTTCTCACTGTGCCTGTTTCTGTTTCATCCAATAGTTTTACCCTGTTATATGAGCTAAAGTACAACTCAGGTGCTTCCATCTGGGTTCAAGATCTACAACTGAAAATAATACCCTAAGCATTTATTGATTTAAAACATTGCATTTTAATTCAAAACAGAACATTTTTTTTGTATTTGTTTGCGAAGAAATGAGATGATTACAACACAGAGAAAGCTGGAAAAGCTTGATAAAATTGCAGCTAAAAATAACAGTGCATTCAAACTCCGATGGATGAGCAAAGCAAAATAGTGCTGACAGCAGGAGCAGAGAAATGTTTTTACTTCACAGAGAAGAGATAAATAAAAAAACAGCTCGGTTGAAAAAAAACATGCCATTTAATTATTTTTTTATTATGTCTTTTTTACACTAGGGCCATTTTTTGTGTAAAGCCCTGTATATTGATAACTGGTAAAAGTAATGATTGGATTGAGGTTATGGTAAAAGGAGTTATTAGTTTTGTATTTACCTGAGCGCAGCGTCGATGGTTTTCACACCAAACCATAACTTGGGCACTCTGAAAGAAAAAACGAAAGAAAAATCAAAACAAGAATACAAAAAAAACTTATTTTTTTCATGTGCATTTTTCCTCTGGATTTAAAATAAAGGTCTAACATGAGAGCAAAAAAAAAAAAGCTAAATATTGTTCATAGAAAGGCTGACTAGCTTACACGACCAGAGCAAATAATTAAAGTTAGTCAAACTCATCTTTATTTCTCCTGTTATTTACACAAGTGTCTCCTGGGTGAAAAAGGGTTCAACACAGATTGTTTGTGGTGACAGATTCAGACAGTGATTACCGAAATGTGTGTGTGTGTGTGTGTGTGTGTGTGTGTGTGTGTGTGTGTGTGTGTGT